AATAAATAAATAATAGGGGGCCAGCCAAACAGCTCAGCGGATTAAAGCACCTGCAAGCAGACACAGGGTCCAAGGGTATGATCCCCGGGCCTGCCTTGTCAGCCCCACCCCCAGGGCGCACTGATCCAGCAATTGAGACTGGGCATGGTGGCGTGCGCCTATAATCTCAGCTCTTGGGAGGCTGTAAACAGGTGGATCACTGCAATCCTGATCTAGTAGTGAGACCCTGAACACTCTACAGACTTCTCCATAAAATACAAAAAAAAAAAAAAAATCATTATTCTAATGAATGCTTCAGTGGATTTCATCCTCCTGAATTACATAACTTCTCTTTTAGAGACACCAGCAAACAAAACTATAATGTTGGAAATGGCCTATTCCTTCTGTCACTAAAAGTATGTTTTTAGGGCTGGGGAGATGGCTCAGTGGAATAAGCACTTGCCTCGTAAGTGCAAAGGCCTGAGTTCAATCCCCAGTTCTGCTAAAAAAATAAAAAAATACAGGTCAGGTATGGTAGCATGCTTCCAGCACTCTAAGAGACTGAGACAGCAGGATCCCCACAAGTTTCAGGCCAGCCTGAGCTAGAGAGTGAAATCCTGTCTCAAAATAGCTAAGTGTGGTAGTGCATGCCTGGAATCCTAGCACTTGGGAGGCTAAGCAGGAGGGTTTGAGTTCGAGGCCACCCTGGACTGAGTCAAAGATCAATCTAAACTACATAGACCCTGTCTCAAAAAAACTAGAAAAGCCAGAACCAAAAATTTTTACTAAAAGAATTTTCAGACAGGGAAACACATCTAAATCATGTCATGACTTTCGAGCAGCTGTCTGTTCTCCATCAACTGCCACATAAGAGCTGGCTGCTTGCTCTGGACACAACCTGATTGCCAGTTTCTTGTATTTTGGTGTTCTAAGTACTTGTGCATCGCAGGTGCGAAGCCCCGGGACAGGCACTTTGAGTGCACTCCTGATTTAGGCACTTTGTGGGTTAGTGGAAATCCTAAGATATCCCTGGTCGTCCAGGTGGAGTGAGCACTTGGGAGAAGAGCTTAGTAAACATTGTTATTGACATAGTGGGAGTATTTGTTACATGTGGACTGAAAAGAGACACAGTGCACTATCAGGTAAAGTGGCCAGAGAATGCTTTAGGACATGACAAAAAACTTGGATAAGGGCTGGCCAAATAAAGTACCTGCTTAGGCAGACACAGCAGCCAGGCTTCAATCCCAGTGTGCTGTGCTGGCCCCACGCCCAGGGCATGCTGAGATGGCACTGAGATGGCGTGGTAGTGCGTGCCTATAATCCCAGCACTTGGGAGGTGGAACACAGGTGGATCACTACAAACCTGATCTAGTAGTGAGACCCTGAGCAACCTGTAGACCCTTCCCTAAAATGCAAAAAAGGAAAAATTGGATAAATGAAATGAAGATTCCCAGGCAAAGAGCAGCCCTAATATAGTGCTGAATGAGAAATAAGATTATAAATTTGGAGATGAAAGGATAGAAGAGGGGAAAAGACCAGAAAATGAAGCAAAGATGAACACGAGATGGCTCTTTTTAAAATTTTTATTTGCTTATTGGGAAGAGCCAGGAGACTAGGGATTGAACCTAGGGCCTCCGCACTGAGCTACATCCCCATCCGTTTTTGTACTTTGAGACGAGGTCTTGTTAAATTTCCAACTGACCAGGCTGGGCTTGCACTTTGATCCTCTGCTCAGCCTCCCGGAGCGCTGGGATTACATCTTGCAGCTCTGCCCAGACAAAGGGCTCTTGAGCTGTTACTTGAGATGTCCATGAGCTGGCAGCACTGGTGGGCTCTAGAAGTGGCCCACCTGCCTCTGTGTCTGCAAGTTGCTAGGCCTCTATGTCTCCTTTTTTAATTGAAAACTATTATAATAATTAGACCCACATACAATTTTTCATTTTGTTTTATTGTGGGGCCAGTGATGTAGCTCAGTAGCACAACACCTACCTGGCAAGCTCAAGGCCCTGAGTTTGATTCCTGGTGCAAAAAAAAAAGTGAGTGTAGTGACCCACATAAATTCTCAGCGCTCACTGGGAGGCTGAGGCAGGAATATCCTTGTGAGTCTGAGACCAGCCTGGGCTACAAAGTGAACTCAAGGCCAGCCTGAACTGCATGTATCAAAAAAACAAAAAGGTTAAAATCATTTTGTTTTGTTGTGTCTGCAGTACTAGGGATCAAACCCAGGCCTTTGTGTGTACTGAGCACATGTTTTACTGCGGAGCTATACCCCAGCATGGCTGAAGCCCTAGGGTTAATTCCCAGTACTAGAGAAAACAGTGACAGAGATCCCTTGTCCCCTTTGGGCAATTTCTCTGACTAGTGACTTTACAGAATCATAACAGATCAGGCTGGTGTTGGGGCCTGCCGCAGCAAAGCAGTCAGGCTCAGCATTCTGTGGCTCGATCCCCAGACCCTCTTGCCTTACCAGGCCCGCCCTGAAGGCATCCTGGCGGGGGGCCGTCAGCCTGGTGTTGCAGCTGATGGTGGGCTTATGTACAGGCAGGAGGCTCTGAGGGCTTTAGTCACTAGCATGACCCAAAACTGGGACCCAAAAACTTAAACTAGGCTGTTGACAGTTTGTCTTTCCAACTGTGTTTCCTCATCTTAATAGTAGGACTTCATAAGACTAATGTGAGGGAGAAATACTTAAGTGCTTAGTACATGCTAATGTTCCTGTTACATGTTATAACATATCTGTGATTGTTTTCTGTTAAGTATTGACTAAATATCTGCTCGTATGCTAAATGCTTTGCTGTAGGTTGTTTTATCAGTTCCTACTGATAGATATTTAAAAACTATAGTTTTTTGGTTTCGAGACAGGGTTTCACTCTGTAATTGAGCCTGGCTTTACATGCACTATGTAGCCGAGGCTGTCCTCAAATTCATGTCAATCCTCCTGCCTCAGCCTCCCAAATACTGGGATTATAGACATGCACAGTGCTGCAAAGAAAATTTTTCTCCAAGACAGGATCTTAGCTCAGTGGCTCAGTGTCTGCAGAGTAAGCACAAAGTCCTGAGTTCAATTCCCCGTAACCAAACAAAAAAAAATTTGGGGGGCTGGGGAGATGGCTCAGTGGAATAAGTGCTTCCCTGGCAAGCACAAGGACCTGAGTTCAATCTCCAGTTCTGCAAAAAAAAAAAAAAAAAAAAAAAAAAAATTTTTTTTTTGCTGGGGTGGTAGCACATGCCTATAATCCCTGCACTGGGACAGTTGAGGCAGAAAGATCCCTATAAATTTGAGGCCACCCTGGGCCACTTGAGCAAGGTCAAGGCCAGGCTGAACTACATAGGAAGACACTGCCAGAAAAAAAAAGGGCCCACCAAATAGCTCAGTGGATTAAAGCGCCTGCAAGCAGGCGTAGGGGCTGGTGGGGGTGGGGGTGGGGGCTGTCAATCCCTGGGCCTACTGTGCCCACCCCACCCCTGGGGAGACTGCTATTGAGACTGGGCATGGTGGCACACTCCTGTAATCCCAGCTCTTGGGAGGCTGTAGACAAGTGAGTCACTATGAGTCCAATCTAGTAGTGAGACCCTGAACACCCTGTAGACCCTTCCCTAAAAATACAAAAAAAAAAAAAAAAAAAAAAGTATCTTTCTATATTGTACAAACTGCCTTGAATTCACTATGTATCCCAGGCCGGTCTGGAATTCTCCTGCCTCAGCCTCTTGAGTGCTGGGATTACAGGTGTGTTTTTACTGAGCCTAGAGTGCAGAGATTCTTAAAACTACTCAGCTTTGCATATGTCTGTCATTCTTTGGCGAAGGAGTCC